CAGTGCTCTGAAGACAAAATGTGAAAGGACCTAACACTTCTATTCTCTCTGTAGCTGGCTGCTTCTTCCATCCCTTCAGGACTGGCTGGCTGTATCATATATAATAATCTCTAAAACACACAACTCCAAGTATAATTGCAGCATTTCTAAGTGAGAAAACATTTTTCAGTTTACTCAAAAATATGTGGATTGGCTGAATTGAAGCACTGAGAGCCAGGGTGGAAAAGTACCTTCCAAGACTGCCACTCTGTAAACCCCTCGCGTTTACAGAGGCATTCAGGTGCATACTAAAGAAACTGATTTCCTTAAGTCATTTTGATGTAAGTGTTCGTTTTTTCTCTAAATACCCTGACCTTAAGATTTTGGGTCAGGCCTTCCCTTGCTAATCCAACAAGACAAATAACATAACAAATTTTTCCAGTTCCTTTAAATATTATTCATTCACAGACAGTAGCATGCAAAAGCCCTTCCCGAACTTCCCATGAATATTATATTCTTATTCTGTGCAATCAAGACCACTGGTTTTCACTAGTGTAAAAGTCAAGGGAGCCAGCACCTAAAAGTCCATTTAAACTTTTTGTATAAGGCAAAGCAACTCTGCAGTCCTTAAAAACGAAAAATTTTTCAGTTCTTTGAGCATCTGGGCATGAACCATTGTCACTCTCCTAACTAACAGGAAATACTTAAATTAGGGGAGGGTCACAGATAAACAATGTTCAACTGAGGCTCAGTGGATGCTGAACTTTCCACCCAGTTTCACATCCTAGTTCAGCTATGGGCATACAAAGACTAGCTCAGGAAAACACAGTAAAGAAGCTGTTCTTCATTCCTCAAGAACCTAAAGGATCACAAGCAGTTCCCAAATAAGAAATTAATACAATATAAACTTACATCTTTTTTATCTGATAAACTATACTACTGGCATGAATGCCCTAACACTTTGTTTCTGTTGCAGGTGTTAATGGCTGAATTTCCAACACCTTCCTAACAAAAGTTCCGTTCTTTGTTTTAGAGGAGCGGCTTGTTAATAAGTGCAACAGCAAGCACAATAAGTAGCAACTGTAAACACAGAAACATGTTTACAATTACTTCCACTACTTTGGTCTCCATTTTCTGTAATACTACAGCTGAACCAGAACAGATTTTGATTATCAAGTTACCTAATTTGAGAGTGCTCCGCTGAACATACAGCATTAGCCTAATTTTCCCTTCCAGATGCAAAATCCCAACCTATTCCTCAACATATAGATAGCTGTATTCTGCAAATGCAAGAGGCATCATGGTTTGAAATAGGTATCTTATCTCAGCAGGTCAAATACAATACGTCAGGCACAAGCTACCTGAAAATGCTTCAGCTATGTGAACTACCAGCAACATGAAACTCTTGACACATTCATAGATGACTTATGGTAGAACTCAAACGTGAATAGCTTCAGACAAGTCTACCAAGTATTCTTTAAATTTGATAAAGTCACTTACACATCAGGCTATAAATAGCAAACTTTTGGTAAAAATCTTCATCTGACATCCATGTATCATAGGGCTAAGCACAGAAGATAGAAACATTAATTTTACTGCAACCCATGAGATAGTTCTAAAGTCTTTAATGAATAGCTCATTCAAAGAAAATTTCTGAGAACGAGTTAAGACTACCACAGCAGCTCCGTACAGCCAAATGTGTTGAATGACATGGCTTGCTGCCGCGTCCCCGTGACACTAAGGTGTGACCTGCAGAGAATACTAGTTAAGAGTTTGCCAAGGTTTTTCCTGACCAACTGGTCTTTACAAAGCCAGACAGAGCTCTACACTGCAGAACACAACACCCACAGATACCATCTCCAATTACAGAAGATGACAGCTGCCATCAATTCTACTTGATACAAATGGGAAGTTTGGTTCTTGGGTGCATGGACAGTGTCCTAGAAGTACTTCAGTGAAACAAGAAGTGAAAAGCTAAGTATTTATAAAAATTTCGTCTAATATTTATTTTAATCTTGTTACTCAGGAATAAGCTAAGTATACAAAATGCACCAGTGATTATGATAGAAAAAAGTGTTTCAGTTACACAGTAACAATCTTTTGTACAGACAAAAAGCTGTTTAGTTGGGACACTGAAGCATCTAACCCATTTTTACAACTGTTTGGTTGGCATATATTAAGTCTGCAAAACATTACGTCATTTTCAAGGTGGAACATATGGATAGCAAACCTTTTGGGGACGAGAGTGTAAAGATCTTCCCCATTCTGTGCAGAAAGCTTTTATAAAAAAGTCTGCAAGTTGTCCTTTCACATCAATGATCTCTGCATATCAAAGCCGAGGTCGTGTTGGTATCGGAAATATCATCCCATATGGGTTTTGCTGTGCATTTTAAAAATATAAAAATATACACATGCTTTTAACAGTGTACAACGAAGGACATTAAGATGATCTATAAAGTGCCTTGTGGGCACAAAGCCTTTGTAATTTAAAAGGAATTCTAAAGATCACCGATTTGAAGTACTACTCATATTTTGGTTGAAGCATCATTTTTATTGCTGTTATTTCCATACAGAATAGCAGTTACCGAATCTTCTACTGGGTAGTTTTATGTATTTTTAGATCTGATGGCTAAAGCAATCCACAACAGAAATGAAGCAGCATCTTGCACTCTCATGACAAATTTTAACAGTGCTGCTGTTCTTTTTATATGCCAATGTGTCTTTATATGCACAAGAATCCAAAAGACCACTTATCAACTTAAAATTAGGCTGGTGGTCTTCCTGTCACCGAACAATACCCGAAGGACCAGAAATGGTTTTTAGCTCTTAAGAATGCGGCATACTCTCAAATGTCTAAATAACTCCAGGTGCCAAATAAAGAACACGAATATTTTCCTTTCTTCTAGAAAAACCTTAACACAATCAAGGCTTAGATGTACAAGCAATACAGAACTACACTCTAAAGCTTTTATCATTGCAAATGCATGCAACGAATACACAGAATCTGGATCAAATGATTTGACAACTCAAAAATAAGCAGAAAGGCATAATGTTAAGTCGAACCATCAGACTTCAGCATAGTAAAAGCAACAAAAAAAAAATTACTTTTGGAGAAATACATTTGAAAAAAATAAAGAAAAAGAGATAGTAAAGACAGCACTGGCATATCTTTCATCACACTGTTTTTAGCAGAAGAGTTTGCTATATAAATTAGTACATCTTTTTTACTAATCTGCAAGGCAGGTTTAAAATAGGCCACACTTTGGGTTTTTTCAAACCAACCCTACCATAATTGTATCAAATTATGTGAAAAGAAAGTAATAAACCCACCAAGTATATATTTTTGTGGCAATGCAAATATTTAGGAAAGATGAAACACTTACTAAAGACCCTAAAGCTTCAGCTAGTCATACCCTCATGTTCTCACCTGTAAGTCTTTCTTCAGTTTTAGTAAATCTTCATTTTCTGCATTCCCAGATAAGGCAGCCTCAACTTGCTGAAGCTGAGCTTTGTAGCTAGCTAACTGCTTAGCAAGGTCTTCTGACATCTGCAAGAAACATAAATACACACACATCACATCAAAACAACAGGCATGCTGCTTTTTAATCACATCTTGTGTTGCAAGTAAAGTGAAACTGATAAATAAATAACACAAGAAGCTATTACTAAAATACTGAAGATAAAACTCACTAAGTTTCAGTAATGCACTACTTGACTATAGATAGCCACTCACCTTAGTTTTTGTACTGTTCAACTACTCCCAGACGATCTCTAAAAAAAAGAAAAACTTAAACGCGCGCCTGTGTGCGTGCACGGGGAAAAGGCGCACCCTACAGCGGGTAAGCAGCGGGGTCTTTAGCCAGCCG